TGTTGATGTTGGCCGTGGAGACAGGACTACCCTCCAAGGCATAAGCCATGCTTGTTTGGGGAAAGCATCCATGCACACTGCACTGTTTACAATTTAATGTGTTTACAAATGACTGGGCTGTACCTCAAGTTGTGCTATGTTAATGGGCATCTGTTTTGTTATTTCTGTTAGGCAACCTTATCTTTTTTTTGTACAAAAAACACCCACGTGGTAATAATGTAGTACATTTTCTAGAGAATTTATTTTCTCTTGAGAACTGCATGACATGTAACCTTAAAAATTAAATTGCTGACATGGCTTGCTACTTTCAAGGTATCCTCAATTTTTTGTTTCAACGATTTTCAGAGAATGATGCAATTTCACAAACTCACTTTCATGACAAACCCTTCAAAAGCTACAGTATACTTTATTTTTCAAATGAAAACACATCTAATGACAATGAACAGATCAACTGAAATACCAGTATATATTTTCTTTAGATATTTTTTTTAATTTATCCTAAACCTTTGGAGCATGAAATCTTCGCAAATTAGAGATTCAGATTTGTGACAATTCAGGCGGTCCAAAAATCTTATCACAACCTATACAACAACAAATTTCTGCTATTTGCACAAGTATAGAATTCCATGTTTCAAACGTTTCTGTTTTTTTAGTAATCAGAAGCAAACATGCACTTTAATGTCCACGTTGTGGTGAAATTCTGCGGTATGGAGGCTCTCGATAGTTTTGATGAGCACGGAAGGTGCGGACATTTTCTGTGGTCTTCAAGAAGATGTAGAAACTAGAGCGGGGATGTGACCAATGATAAACAAAACTTGGAACATGGAAAGTAGGACACCTACCCAAGTATTCAATAGCTATGTTTACACAGGACCATCACTGTTTTAAATTTCAAGTTTGTGAAACCTTGAAGTAATAACAATGATCCCCCCACCAACTGCACAAAGTTATGTCTCTTATTGCGTAACATGGCTTGTAGGTTCTGAGTAAACTTTAAGTTTCGTAACTACATTTACATGTACGTCTCACCTGTCTATAACTAGAAGATATCATCCAAAGTCTAAAACCATGACCTAAACTTAAAGTTAACCGACTGTTGTGTGAACCAAACTAATAGCCAATGAAAAGGAGTTTAAAAAGTTGACACGGCTTCGAGCTATGAGGGTGTGTAGTCTTGGCAGGAGTCAAGAAGGTGTAATGAAGTGAAACAACTTGTCAGAATCTTGAAGTATTTGTTTACAAACGGGACAAGGCTGCCATCCCTGGACAGGGGTGGAGAAGAGGGTCTCCTATGGGTCACAGGCAGGCCTCTCCTGCTATTTCTCGAGGTGATGACAGAACTGCAACAATGTGTGTCCAAATATTTTGGATACAAGCTCCTTGATATTTGTTCAGTGGGTGGACTCTATGCTTTGAATTATTATTCATACCAAAGTGAATGGCAAAAAGGACAATATGAAGTGTAAACTGGCATGTACATGTGGCCTTTTAAAATGTAGGTTGGTTGATGTGCAATAGAAAGGGCATCCTCTTTGACAAGACAGACACAGAAAATGATGAAGCAAAGCAAGTTTGAAGGCACAAACCAATTGTAATGCATAGTAAAGGGTCTGAGCTAGGAGACTTTACATGTATACTTTACACAGACCACAGTCTATATACCCTATGTACTTCTGATTTGACACAGATAGAGGATGACAAAGTTAGGCTTGGCTCAAGACTTTATAGAATACTAATTAAGTGTCAAATTAGAGTGTGTGCCTGCAACAGGCAGGGTAAAGCAACTCTCTAACCATTCATAAAATAGGTGAACAAGGTTTTAGAGGATGGGAAAACAGGAATGTGACACCTACGGAAAATATAAATTAAGGAAGAATGGCAGGTAAATGGCCAGGTGAAGTTCATCACTGGCTGTCGCCTGTCCAGGATAAACAGAGGATTACCTCTACCGATTACCCAGAAAGAGAGTTCTCTGGTATTTGTACAAGATGCACACATAAGCAGTTTATCCTTCTCAGCCCCCCCCCCCCCCCCCTTCTGACTGAAAAAGAAAATGAATAGTATTATCATTGACCTACTACTGGTTTCGGTCCATGATATCAGAAGGAAAAGGGACATCTTGTGTTAACCTACATTTGTTTTAAGTTGGGCCAGAACTTCCTGAAGGGGCCCTCCTGCATTCATCTGGTCCATGTACATAATTATACATGTAAGAGAGTGGAATAACAGTCTCCCCCCCCCCCCCCCCCTACACACAAACTCAAAGTGTTAGTGTGTTACAATTCCGATATCTTTGTGAAGCAAAGAAACAAGTCAATTTTATAAACAAAGAAAACAATCTTTATGTTCTATTCCAATTTCTAGTTTGCAATCTTTTTTTTCCAACTGTCGCCCAAGGCAATATGAGACTCCAGTTTGAGTTGGTCTATGAGAAGTTCTTGATTGACATACCCAAACACATTACGCAAGACTAGTTTGTTGCAGAACTCCTGCTCCATCTACAAAAAGTTCAGCAAACAATCCCAAGCAATGTCAAATAACTCAACTTATCCATGATTACTGCCAGCTCCACCCAGTGCCAATCAACAGATCAGCTAAAACACTAATTGGTCACAGTTTGATGCTGATTGGTTGGAGGTCATGTTGGGTTAAAGGTCAAAGGAATTAAACATAAGGTCACACCTCGAAGGATCATATATCTATACACTGCAGGCAAGATACTGACTAAATCTTGAAAATTGTCAAGTGCTGTGATTTTGAAGTGTTTCAACGCAGATGATAACGTGGGTGTTAAATTCCACCCATGGACCTAACCCACATATATTTCTGACACACCTTTTTTTTTTCCCTCTCTATTTTCTTCATATTTACCAAAATTGGAATAGAAAATTTAGAAATTTATTTAAATGGCTTTATTTCACCTTCTTACTGTGGGCTTTTTGGAGCACTTATAATCATATCAAGTCGACCCTGTTTTCTTCTGCCCTACATATTTTAGGTTCGTTATCATAACATAGAATTTATGATGTCTGTAGGAACCTGTATCAGATTTTTCTTTCACTGGATAGGCTCTCATACTGAAAAAAAGGTGAATTTGAAAAGAGTTATTGCAGATATTTTGCCAATTACCCCGCTTTACTGGCGTAGACGGCACAGTAACCTATAAAAAGGAGCGCAGCCGAAGACAGAATGATATCCTATGTTGATTGCTCTAATTCATCAAGATCTAAATCATCCATTAATACTACATACTTGGCAGTGATCTTTGACTAGAAAATGAGGAGAGAAAAATCACAATCGGCAATTTACGGCCCGAATATGAAAGGTCATTGCATTCTTTGGGGATTGATTTCAAGGCCGAATCTTGGGCTACAAATTGAAAGTTGAAACAAAAGGGGCAGTTACACTGTCATCCAAACACGCCAAAAAATGCCAAACCGGAGCCTGGCCGCGATGTTACCAAGGGCAACTACGCTTTACCGGCAGACATGCCAAGCCCCAAACATTCCAAAACGAAGTGTGATCTTTTGGCGTGTTTTGGCGTGTTTTGGCGTGTTTGGCAAGTATAACCGCTCGCAGTTGTAACATCGCGATGTTAGGCACGTGACTTCCGGCACTTCCGGATTGTTACCCGCGCTCTTTTAAACCACGTTCTTCCCGTGTGATATTTATAGCATTTCCATCGTCGCGTGTTATCCGTTCATTCAGCTCCGTTTGTTCCAATTCCGTTAACTCATCCTTTATTCAATCTTCGTTATTCCCGTCTGGCCATATCTGTCTAGTAGTAGTATTTGAGTGTTTTGTTAGATTAATTAATATGGAAGTGAACAATTCCCATTGGACTGATGATGAGATGAAGTTCTTGATTTCGATGTGGAGGCAGGGAGAGCTCCTCCACCAGACTTCCAAGCGTCCCTGCAAACGTGGGGAAAAGGGCTTCAGAGAAATGAGTGAAAGCATGAAATTAACAATTAACAACGATGATTTTCTTAACCTTCCCATATCGTTTTTACTACTAGATTTCGATTGAATTTGGGAAAACTGAATCAGCAGCCGTAGTCCGTACTTCGTAACTTATCCACTCTTGCCTCAAATACTACACGCCAGATAAACAAAACATATCGCATGCATGCGCATGGGATGTATCGCTATTTAGCTAGCTATAGCGCTAGCTGGAAATTGCGCGCGCTAAAAATCTTATAGCAGGCCGGGGTCAAAGGTCGGGAAGACTGCACATGCGCATTACCAACCGAAACACGCCAAAACATCGCTGAACAGCTCCGTCGGTGATGTTTCAGCACAAGTGTAACCGGGTGCACGAAACATCGCGACTTTTCAAAATGAGGTATTTGACAGTATAAATGCGCCTATGTTTGGGGGTTAGGCATGAGGGCTTAGCCCACAAAGAAAGAACATGTCAAAACAGTGGTAACAATGTCAACTTAAAGGTAATGTACAGCATTGTTCCAAGTTGAATGAGTATATTAATGGGGTAGAAACACCTTGCATTTTTGTTCATTTCATTTTCATATGAAGATGAAATGTTGTATGTCGTAAAAATTATGATTTACCCCAAAACGCTAACTAAAATTCACCAAATTTGAATGTCCTCATAAAAATTGTATGTATTGGGAATTTTGTAATCCTTTTTTTTTTTATAATGCAGATGCTTTTATGTGATTTTCTTTTCTTTCACAAGTGCGCCTTGAGCATTTGATTTCAAGTCGATTTAGCGTCTTAAAAATCTCATTAATTATACTCATTACCAATATTATTAGTTCCTTTGCAAATTGTGGAAATTCAACAGCATAATTCAGTCATTTTTTTCAGCAAGGGACTCGTAAAATTTGTGAAAGTTTGATGCATGGGAAATTTCTGGTGTGTAGCCACTCGGGACTCGATCATTAATCCATGGTCCAGTGCTGTATCCGCTAGACCACAACACCTCAGATAGATGATAGATGATTAAAATTAATTATTTTTCCATATTAGATTGTTACCTTCTCACGGTCGTCGGCTACATCGGAGACAACATCATCAACGTCCAGTATACCGCCTTCGCTCTGACTCGCTAAGCTGTGAACGTGCACCCAGTAGTCAGGACTCTGAAAAAGAAAAGAACAATGGTTTTTTAATTATTTGACAAATGTTAAGATACGTAAAGAATATTATGAATTTTCAAATCTTTATGCTTACATGTTCATGTAGCTTCTCGTGAATCTTAATCACATATGATCATTTTCAATATAATCTGTAAAGATATAGTGGCGTACGTGAAGCTTTAGGGGCATATAAACATAAATCGAATGGGAAAAAGGAGGGGAAAAGAGCAAGAGTAAAAAAAAAGATTAAAAAAAGAGGTTCCTCCAACAAACTCCTCTCACTTACTTTCACTTTTCTCAAAAACAATTAATGCTCTTACAAATGTACATGAATGTAGTACTGGTAACCCTCCCCCTCCTATTGATGCCCCCCCCCCCCCTCACAATGATGGTGCATATACTCTGCTAAAGTAGGCTCTATATATCTTTTCTCAGCATTTTTGCTCTAATGGTTGGAATAAATTAATGTTATAGAAAACAAATTTACAACAGACATCAGTATTAAAATACAAGGAAATCTTTTCTTGAATGGCATCAGTGCACAAACCTTTTTAAAAGCTTATCAGTACAACAATAAAAAATGCTGGCCTAGTAGTACAGTGTGTAGGTTATCAATGGTCATTCAGATTCAGTCATGCATGGACCAAGGAAATGCATTGAGGTATTTGTACATATATACAGGAATAAACTAATCTTTGACATGGAAGATTATCAAGCTAAATCCCATAAATAATATAAACTATGGGGAAGTCTTTAAACCCTTTTCCACAGTCTTTTATGTCTCTCTCAGCAATAAAATGGTCCATCGGTGTTGTTGCACAAACTGATTGTGCTTTACACCTTATACATAATGTGTGAGCTACATGTACAAAAATGTGTGTGTGCAAAGTGCCAAAGTCGATGAAAGAAATGCTTGCTACAAATTTTACAAAACTATAAGAAGAAAAAAAAGTGCATGACAGATACATGTAAGACTTACAAAAATGTAAATATAACTTCTAGTTCTACAGCTCTGTATACAAGCAAGATGCACATCTAATAGGCCTCCACACAAAGATCAAACCTCCTGAAAGCTTTTTACAATTACAATTACAGCTACACGCTCTACAAAGATAAACTCAAATGAGACGCGTTATGAGGTCTAAGTCAACATCAAATTGACCCGTTAAGTTTATTGAAACTCTACAAAAAAAACACAGACCTTGTGGTTTTTGTTCAGTACAGGTTTCACGGTGAGTCACTCATTTTGGACACAAAGAAAAGAAGGGGGCAGCATGGATACGAATGGATGAAGGACAAGCCAGGCCACTTAGTTATGAATTAAAATGAAATTTGAGAAATCATCTCCAATCAAATATATTCCAATTCGGGAGAGACGAGGGGAAGATATATGAGTTTGATTGTAGACAATTGCAAGACACTGTAGGCCTGTCTTCATCAGCTCGAGTTTGCCAAATAACCTGCTGTTTTTACTTTAAAGACTCAGGATATTATCCCGAAGCTTGAAATTGCGTCTTCACCAGACCAATACGCTCATCACAAACTAGCTCAGACGGGCGTAAACTAGCCCGCTCTTTCCCAAATGGCAGGATATTTTCTCGACCAAATATCCCACTAATTGCAACTGCGGGCTCTTGAAGATATGAGCTGGATAATTTGCAATCGAGATAGTTAAAATAGTGGGCTATTTGACAAACTCGAGCTGATGAAGGACAGGCCTTGTGTTTAGCAATCAGCTTGTTTGATGCACAAGAAGAGTTCCTCCATCCTTGCAGATTGCTGCAACTGTACATTCATGAATGAAAAGGTACTTCTCTATTTGGATTCACATGAACTATTCAGAAGAGAAACATTGATGCCAAATGATGAATATTTAATAAAGGGGTTTTCCACAGAAGAAAACATTGATGCCGAATGATGAATATTTAATAAAGGGGTTTTCCACAGAAGAAAACATGGATGCCAAATGATGAATATTTAATAAAGGGGTTTTCCACAGAAGAAAACATTGATGCCGAATGATGAATATTTAATAAAGGGGTTGTTCAAAGGATGCGAGGCTCTCAATTATTTATTCTTTTTAAGATCCAGACAGTGAATAATTCATCAGTATGCCTGGCCTACATGTACATTACATGTACAGTAATATTTTCTGAAGGAAATACAGTGTATGTGTTTACTATTGTCCTTATTTTACATGTATAGTGTAGCTTTTATGTGTACTGTCCTCACCCCCCCCCCCCCCCCATGATATAGAAATAAAGAGTACAAGAGGTACAGTGTACATGTACAGTTTAGTATGAACAAATCTCCACCAATACAAAACTAGACTTGATGCTCATCGTATCTTTTTTAATTTATGTTCTATTGAAATATTGACAAAATTAATCTTACATTGTACAATTATTTCTTCATACAAGTACTTTGACAGTCTTTTCAAGCATCCCAGAGAAAAATTGTTGTCCACTTGGGTGTATTTTTTTTTTGTATTGGCACTTTTAATTTTGGTAGTCCATTGCTGTGTACCATGGGCGTGCACTGAAACGAGTGGAATTTGGTTGTTTATTATGCACTCAAATGAACCTTACTCACTGTGGCATTCACTTGACTTTAATCAATAATCTGCTTAATTTAATACATATTTGAGTGACAAGCCAAATCCCTATATACACAATAAAACACATACTGGTAGGCCTATACACTGTGTACATGTATCAGCTTTATATATAAAATCATTCAGACAACTTGGCATGAGCCGACGACAACTTTGATTGATTGTACTGCCAAACAATTCCTTTACTTCAATTGGTATAGCTTTAATCGTATCAGACATGTAATTGCCATCATGTACATGTACATTGTAGGTTGCCAATTTAATGTATGGAATGAGAGAGGGTATCTTTCATGCCGTCGATCAAGACCATTGATTGATGAGCATTCGTATAGGTTTTCATGTTCCATAGTCTGACAGCATAGAATAACCCACATGGCGAGTATGATTGAACACAAGCGATGGCATAGGTTACTGAATATCATGTTTGGTATGCGCATCAGCAATATTGATGTAAATTGTGCCCTAATGACTGTGATTAATCACGCTTCTAGCCTCAAGTCCAGGCTAATGATAGAACTACATTAATATGTGTAGCAGTAAAGGTGATGTACATGTAAAGCCCACTCGTGTAAATGCCTCTTTGTAAAGTGTAGGCCTACATGTACGTCTATTGTAATGTTTACATCTTGGACCTAACCTACAGAATTGTACATTTTACCCAAATGTACAATATTTCTGTTATACAGTGTACATATATACAGTGAACATGTAGGCAAGTAGAACACACAGTAGGTCTACTCTACACTACACATGAAGTGCAAGTACAAGTAATGCCAACATATTAAAGGTAGTGTATATTAGCCCTGTAGGCTGCAAGTACAACATAGGGCTACCAAGGAGATATCACTGTGACGTCTTCTTGGGTCTTCACTACACAATCTCAATAAAAATTGAAGAAGGGTCCCCCCCCCCCAACCCAATATTAATTTCAATGCAGCATGAAGGCTAATTGTGTACATTTGCACATTCACATGAACAAAATCAAACAGCCCTCCCTGCCCCCCCCCCTAAATATTAATTTCATGATGGCCAATTGTAAATGCCGTCACTGTATTTTAAAGGTACATGAGCAATAGCGTACTGTATAGGCCTACCTACAGTATAACACATTTTGAACAGTCAGTAATGACCATAAGGCCTAAGTGAAAACTCATTCAGTACCACCATAAACTGCCACTATGAACATGACTGACAATGAGAGCGGACAAAATATACAGTTCCTCAGGTAGACAAAGGAACATCCCTTACTGCTATTATGTAAAAATGTGTAGAACAGGTGTCACATGCATATTCACCTTTTTACATAATAGCTGTGAAGGGATGTTCCTTTGTCTACCTGAGGAACTGTATATTTTGTCCGCTCTCATTGTCAGTCATGTTCATAGTGTGCTCCATATATGTCAGCATTTAATTCACAACTGATCCACGCTAATTGCTTTGAACTCTATTACCCTTCTGTGCTACTTGACTAGTCTCTACAGAGCTCTGTTCCAGACCTTTCTGTCTTTCATCTCTTTATTAAAGTTTTGCTCTTCGTAAGCTGCTAATCTTTGAATAATCACATCACATAAGCCTGTCTATAAAGACCACTCAAGGGAGACAAGAAAAGTGGTCTTGATAGACATTTAGACAGGTAGTCTTTATATAAATGTACAAGTTAATAATTTATTACACGTTTCATTAAATAAGAAAGCATTTTCAGGGGAAACACAAAATGTGGTCTTTGTGGACCGGTGGTCTTTCTATACAGGTGATCAAAAAGGACCGACCGGTCAATAGCAAGGGAAATCTTTAAGTAATACAGTCGACATGTACAGGTACATACTGTACATGACAAATTGTTGTGTTAATACCAAAACACAAAGATATCAGAGGAGGATTAATCTACCATCTTTATTTATAGGTCTGCTTTATCTCTTTGCTATAAAAATAGAGTCAAAGCTATAACAAATAACAATTTTAGACACATAATGTTTCACTGAAGTGCTCATTTTTCGTTACCTCGTTGTAATCCGTATATCATCTAACATGAGGCCATCACATGAGGCCATAGCATGAGGCCATGGCAGGGGCCAAACAGAGTCAGCAAACTTTCAGCATGTACATGTATGTTCACTTTCATTGGCCTATTAATCTCGAGATTTACGACCGTTAGGGTTGAGGTGGGGTCTGTTTTCTTCACCTTTAAGGGGAACTTGATCTTGCCACACCTCTGTCTCACTAGGCGCGTCTTCATCATCTCGAGATTGCCAAATAGCCCGCTTTTTCTGATTTGGGAAATAATCCCGAAGTTACAAATTGCGACTTCATCAGCTCGAGACTGGACCTCGAAACTTGAAACTCGACCTTGAGAAATTAGCTAGAGATATTTTGCTCAGCATTCGCCGCA